AAAAAGAAAAAAGCTGGAAGTGGTGCTGTGGCTCAAGTGGTAGAGCGCTAGCCTTGAGCTGAAGAGCTGAGGGACAGCGCCCAGGCCCAGAGTTCAGGCTCCACAACTGACACACACACAAAAAAGTAGACCTAGACCCGATGCCCTTTTCCATATCCTTCAAAGACACCACAAGAGGCATTTATTAGATCTACCCTTTAAAAGGTACCGATTTGTGATGTGTGGGATTGACCCAAGGGCCCTGTTCCTACATGGACACGGTCTACCACTGAGCCACGCGCAACCTAAGACTTCACCCCTTTAGAACAGACATTCGCTGCGCTTCTACTTGTCAGCGGGGAACCCGAAGCTGTTTCCGTCACCGTGCCGAGAGCCGGCGAGGCTCCACCAAGCGCAGCTGTGTTAGGTGCCACGCCTCTGCCACCCGCGCCCGAACCCTGACATCTCACCCCCATCCTGTGCTCTTGGGCCGCTCCATGCACTCACTGAGCACCTGTTGCCCAACAGCCAGTGGGACTGCTGAGCAGCCGCGCTGACACGCGCACCCCAGGGAAAGCCTGCAAGTCCTGGAAGGAATCTACCTAGAATCCTAGAGGCCCTAACCCCGACTCAGCCAAGTCCTGAAGGCTCTAGCCTACAATGATTCAATCCCAGCTCCGGCACAGGGCAACGGTGACCGAGAAAAGCATGTCATTTCTGGTGCTACATCGCTCACCTGTAAAATAGGGACACGAAACCTACACTAACAAGTTGTGAGCATTAGATTGCTAAGATCTAGAAAAACTCGCTATATCCACTGGCTCTGAAACTCCATGATGCTACTCTCCACATGGCTAGGTTTTGTTGAACCCCAAATTGACACCTTTTGGGGAAACCATTCAATCTGGTTAGTTTTATGAACAAGACACAATAGAACAGGATGACAGGCTGAAGAAGAGAATGGCCGAAACCTGACAGCTGAAAAACACATGGAAGTCAATGGATTTTTTTTTTCGTGCTGACAATTCTATTTTAAAAAAGGATAGAAGACTTCTATGTTCTATATGTTCAATAAAGGGTACCTGTTAGCTGGGCACTGGTGGCTCAGGCCTGTAACCCCAGCTACTAAGGAGGCTGAGATCTGAGGATCATGGATCCAAAACCAGCCTGGGCGGGAAAGTCCATGAGTCTCCAAAAAACTACCCCAGAAGCTGGAAATGGAGCTGTAGCACAAGCTGTAGCATCGAGCTAAAGCTCTGAGACAACACCCAGGCACCAAAAAAATAAAGGAATCTGTTGGTGGAGATAAAATTTCTAGTGGCAGCCAGGCGCCAGTGGCTCAAACCTGTAATCCTAGCTACTCAGGAGGCTGATATCTGAGGATCACGGTTCAGAGCCAGCTTGGGCAGGAAAGTCCGTGAGACTTTTTTTTTTTTTTTTTGTCGGTCGTGGGGCTTCAATTCTGGGCGTAGACGCTGTCCCTGCACTCTTCAGCTCAAGGCGAGTGCTCCACGGCTTGAGGCACAGTGCCACTTTAGGTTTTCTAGTGGCTTTTATTGGAGATAGGAGTCTCACGGACTTTCCTGCCTGGGCTGGCTTTGAACCGCAATCCTCAGATCTCAGCCTTCTGAGTAACTAGGATTACAGGCGTGAGCCACCAGTGCCCGGGCCGTGAGACTCTTATCTCCAATAAACTACTAGAAAACCAGAAATGGCACTGTGGCTCAAGTGGTAGAGCGCTCGCCTTGAGCTGAAGGGCTGAGGGACAGCGCCCAGGCCCAGAGTTCAAGCCCCACCACCGACCCCTCCCAAAAAAATTTCTGGTGGCAGACAGTTAATTTTCCAACCATTTAGATAACGGTTCCATTCTGACACCCTTTGACTTCCCAGTGGCGTGAAGCTGTATGTAAGGCACTTAGCACAAAGTGTGCGAGAGTACCCACACACGTCCCAGGCCCCTTGTGCCTTCCACCTCTGCACAGGAGCCGGTAAATCATGTGATACTCAATACTTTACACAGGCTGTGGCTTGCCGGTAGTGTCCTCTCTTAGGTAGACCGCCTAGGCAGTGATCTTTCTTTAGTTTCATGGAGTGAAGGCGTGACTGACAGGTAGGTGTCAGGACAGGACTGTGCTAGCTGAGGAGGAATCGTGTCTTCCAGAGTCTTTCTGGCTCTCCTACTTGGGTTACCTCACCTGCTGGGGGACCCTTCCTCCGCCTGAGCCGAGCTCTTACCCATCTCGTCTAGCTTCTCCATGTCCCGGATGATCTGCTTGGGGTCCTTCATCTTCAGGACCGCAGCCCGCACCATCATGCGCTGCTTCTTATTCTAGAAAGACGCAAGGGGGAATAAAATGGGCGCTCACATTCATTCATTCAGAAATCTGAATCTTCCCTTGGTTTATGATGATTTCTTTCGAGCAACAGAAACAAGAGCTAAATTGTTTTGTTGTTGTTCTCAAAAGTCTTTTAAGACTTTAGTAAAAAGCGCCATGCTTTCTTTGGCAAATATGTCAACATCTTCCCCAGTTAGTAAACACAAAAACATAAAAAGTCACGGCTAAATTTAAAAATTTACATTGGAACAGCAAAAGATTTTGTCCAATTTGGTGCTAAGCAATAAAACAAGCTAAGCAATAAAATAAGCAGTGCAGAATTGCCAAATAGCTACATTCCCTTGCGTGTTAAAGCATGATATACATAGTATATGAAAGGCTCTTTCTGATATAGCTGAATTGCTTTTTTTTTTTACAAACTCAATGTCTAGTCAGAAAAACAGATAAAGAAAATACTTAACATATTTATAGTCATCCCACAGTGACTTCTAACAAGGCAGTGGTGTTTAGTAAAGAGCAAGAAAAGAGAAATAAAACCATCTAAAAAGAGACAAGAATACCATCATACACATGATGAACTATGCAACAGTTCAGTGTGTAAGTGTAAGAATTTTTGGCATGGTTAAGAGTTTTAAGAGGTACAAAATTTTTGGCAAACAATCAGCTATGTTATTTGGAAAACTACGGATCCAAAATGGGGAAGATAAACCCAAGGGCCCTGCAGGGCTCTGAAGCCTCACCTTCTTTAATTCTCTCTTCCGGGCTTCCTTTCCTGAAAGGGCAGAGGGAGAAGCAATGAGAGGTTCAAGCCTTCAGCCTGAGCCGTTTCCCCGTAACAGGCTTAGTTACTGTGGAGGCTCCCCAAGGCCCCGCAGGCCAGCTGTCTGGCAGCACCCTCTACACATTTCAACCCAAGTGTCAAGGCATTCATGTTGACTGTTTTCCAGAAAACAAGCTGCGGATCTTCATGGAAAAGACACCATAAATACTAAGAGCCTGCAAAAATCAATCTGCTCAACATTTTGAACACACACACACACACACACACACACACACAAATATCCCTTAAACCAATTCTACTCTGCTTGCCAATTGGACGTGGTAATATAGGAAGTACAGGCTCGACTTTATTTACGTGAGTCAAGCAGTCATCTTGTGCCCAGTACTCTAACTCTGCAGGCCGTACTGCTCGCGCCACTGAAGTGGCCAGGATGAGGCGGATAAGGGCCATCTGCAGCCCTGGCTACTCACGGGCTTGGTCTGTGGGGTTCATGAACTTCCCACTCTTGGTGGAGGAGGTCGATCTTCGTCCCATGGTGACAATCTGGGTGGTTCACTTACAACTTAAAAAACAAAAAACAAAAACCGAGAAAAACCTGTGGAAGAAAAATAAGTAGCTTACATTTTCCTGCATATTTCCAACATGTCTTCCTTTTTCTAAAAGGCTCCTGTCAATCTCTGGAAAGAAACATGTCTTTGGGTGTGAATTCGTGAGACTTTGCTCTTAATGTTGACTTTAGCACCTGTGCAAGAACAAACAGCCCCAACTTTCAGGACCACAGCGAGATTTCCATTATCCTCTAGATAGGTAATAGTGAACATCACTGCCTCTGTGGCTGACCAACCTACCCGGCTCCTTATGACTCACAGCAAATGACTCTTAACAGGGGAAAAAAAAAAAAAAAAAAGAATCAGGCGGATAGATTACCAGCCAAGCATGCTTGGGGGGGGGGAGGGAGGGGGAAAGCTGTCAAACCCCAGTGTCACCTTCCCCCTCCCCCAATCAACTAGAAATTACTCTGTGACACCAACCATGATGACAAGAGGCCATGGGGCCTTTTTCTAAGCGTCGGTGAAAGAGGAACGAAAAGGGGGTTCGGGAGACGGGGCTCTGGGATCAAGGACAAAAAAAAAAAAAAAAAAACGCCTTTCCTGGCCACCTCCCAGGGCCTTTCTTGGCCATGTGGGCGGTCGCTTCCAATCCTTCAGAGACCTTCTGTGAGTTTCCAGGAGAGGGGGGAAGAGGCCTAGATAGATATAAATACGTAACGTATATGTATAAAGATATACATAGCTATACGCTGGTGTGGTGGTGGGGGGAGGCACTAAGCATCTAGAACATCTAGAAGTGCCCATGGGGGGACGGGGGGGGGGGAACCAAGCCCTACATTTTCTATTAAGTTTCTGTGAACCCGGGGAGCGGGGGGATCCTAAATATCCAGAAGTTTCCACGGACCTGGGGTGTCGACCCTAAACGTCTAGAGGTTTCCATGCACCTGGGGAAGGGGGGGGATCCCTAAATTCCTCGACGTTTCCATGGGCCTGAGGAGGAAGGGGACGGGGGGGGGGTAAACGTCTAGAAGCCTCCATGGATCCAGAGTGGGTGGGTGTTTAGGGGAACCCTAAACTTCTAGACGTTTCCGTGCACCTGGGCCTAAACTTCGAGAAGTTTCCGCAGGCCAGGCTTCCCCCCCCGCCCCCCCCCACCCCGGGGAGGGGGAGGGTGGCGGCCCGCGACGGCGCAGG